AAACACCGGAAGTTTAGCCTGAGCATCTGAAAGCGAAAATGCTTAGCAAGTGAAGGTGTAGCACTTAACTCAAGCACAGTTCAAAGTGAATTTACTTCACCGGAGGTGGCGGTGACTTCAACAAAAATGAAAAACTTGGTGAAGTAGTGGCTTCAGGATATCGGTGATTCTGGTGGAATCTATGCTACAAATGAGAAGAATGCACGAGAGAAAGTTCCAAGCAACCAATGCCTGCAACCATGCAAAAGCATAAATGCGGAACGGGCAGACCAGAGATAGTGACAACTATCGAGCATGTTACACTATCGGTCTGAAGTCACTACAAACTATCATTGATGAGAACTACAGTTAGGTTTGAACAAGCATGACTAATTCATGGTTTTGCAACATTAAGAAATATGTTTTGAACTGGTTAAGCTCTTTCCAATGCACTGTAATGGATTGAATTCATCAACATGACATTCTTTTTTTATTTTGAGGTTTAATCTGGTTTTTGGAAAATGGAATTCATTCTCCTTCGTGCGTTCAATCTTAAAATGCTTCTCATCATGCGTTTAGTGGGTGATCAAGTTTAAAACGGATGATATTGCCAATTTTCCGTTTGTCTTTTTCCTCCTTCTGATTCACCATGTTTGGGTTGATGGACTTGCACTCTCATATTACGTTACACATAAATCGCTGAATTCGTTTATTTCGTTAGATAATTTGCACACACACATACACGCACACACACACACACACACACACACAATAATCTAGATTTTACCTCTTTCAGGTTTGATAAACATAAATAAACAGATCCCGGCTCAAATGCAAGCCATTGATTGGTTTAGTGTTATTTCGAATGAATGGATCAATATCTGTCCGGATAGCCCAATCACGACGGACTTGCCACATACACCCACATCATTTTTCTCTACACACTTTACGCAAATTGTTTTGCTAATCAGCTGATAATGAACTACGTAGGTTCAGCATCTCACGCGGTGCTAGATGTACTGAAAAACGATGGCCCCGACGAGACGGGGAAGCAACACGTGCTGACACGCCCACTCATCGAGGTCATGGAAGATGTGAAGTCTAAACTTCGACTGATTGGTAAGTTCTCACCAGTTCTCAACTGGAAACCAACACGAGAAAATTGCTCTCTGATATGTGTGCTTACAAATTTCGGCGTGTACGTTTGAATTGACCTCCAGTCACTATATTGCATCACGGATAGCTCTCAAAGTCACTAACCGTGCTAGTCTATACGATTCAACAGATTAACAAGTGATCACATTTTCTTCACTCAAGGCCCCATTTTCCCTAACATCGTACAGTAAGATAAGTGAGTACACAAGCTACTCGTTCTGACAATCTTAAAATTGCCTTGTAGTCATGGTAACCAGTGGCATGCAACTCACTACATGTGGTAATTATATGATCATAATGGATTCATTCAATCTGTTGAACCATCTGTTTTTAATTATTTATTAGTTGTATGAGAATAATGGAGAATTTTGATTTGTTTATATTATGAATTAGTCGCTCAAACAGAAAAGATGAGAAGCACTGGACAACTGTTTCGACCTGGTTGAGTCTTATCAGCAATGCGAATTCATCGACCCAAATGGGGATCACGAATCCGGGATCTCACAGGTAGAACGCCAGCACACTACACAGTCAGCTGCCGGGCAGCTGATCAAACAGTTTGTGAAAGTTTCCAACCGAGTCATAATCCTGGAGGTAGTGCTGAAATAAGCGAGGATCGATACTCGCTCGATACAATCTCGTGTATATTCAAATGAGAAACGGTCTGAGTCGCTGCCCGGCAGCCGACTGGGTAGTATGCTTGTGTTCCGCTTGTGAGGTCCCTGGTTTGATCTTCAGTTGGGTCGTGTAGTTCGAAAGTAAGTCAGCATGCATGAGCTTGGAGAAATGTAGCCAACGCTTAATAGAATGTAAGTCTCGTTTATGATGCAAACGGACTCCAATAGGACTCCAATAAGACGGCTGTGTGGACTGAGCAGGTCGAAACAGTTGTCCAGTGCTTCCCAGCTTTTCAGCTCATACCTCATTTACACGACGAATTCGTCATATAAATTCACAAGGTTAAATGTATATTTGACAATGTACCATCATCGATAACGCAATGTAAGTTGACTGAATTGAAGGGAAAGTGCAAACATTTTTCATCATTTTGGTATTTTACGCTGTTAAATATATTCGTTACAGTGATAGTTTAAAGCATCAAAGAGAACACGTATAACTCTTAGTTCCAGGGTTATTCTTAGCTATCCAGCGTCTTTTAGATATGATCAGATCAACTAACACATGCTCAACAATACCGTCTTTCCTATTGTCCATTCGCATCGCCCTCTTGCCTTAACGCATCACCCCCAAAACATGGTAATGAGAACCAGACATCACGATCACTCGTGACATCAATCTACATCATACCCATTTTCAATCACTGAATATTGGGCACATTTCTATCCTCAACGGCATTCTTAAATAGGAATATAGAATATCAATGAGTCAGTCTCCTATTAGTAAACAGACTAGATTACAAAATCAGGACAGAATAGAAAAAAAGAAAAAAGTCTCATTGCTTAATCGTATGAAGGGATAGTAATTAACTGACAAAACATCAGCATCAGGGTGTAATGCGAACTCCGGGCTCCCAAAGCGCATCAAAATGGATAGAGATGAGCGATAGGATGTCTGTTGGCTTGTATTCTCGCAGTTGGAGACGATACAAGACCTTACGGGTGATACACGACGGCGAGACGACATTGGGGAACAAACATTGGAATACAGGTAGGGTAATAAACCTGCACGAAAGAGCAAATAACACGCCATGAACCCAAAAGGTCTAGTGAGATCCAAGAACACATAGGATTAAATATTACTGGCGTGGTTGCCAAGCGTTATAAAGGCACTGCATACCAAACGGAAAGTTGCGATGGATTTTGTGTGCTTTAGTTGACTAAATAACGAGGTCGGAATGCCGATTAATGATGTTTTGCGGTTAAAGTCAAGTCAAAAATCGCTTTATTCATCCTAATGGATGGATTTTTCGTTTCTCGCACTCCAGGATCATTTATCAACGTATACAGTCGCAAAGAAAAAGTGAAAGCACAGCACTGTAGATTCAAAAGAATGTGGAGTAAAAAGTTTGAAAATGAATGTCAATTGCGTAGAAAATTCAAAAAGTTTCCCCTAACAAATGCCTTTTGAGTCAGAAATCTCGAAAGGTAGGGGATGACGGACAAACGGTAGGCAGTGATACGAGCATACACCAGTTTATAACGACATCTTGTTACAGAAGTGGATACGCATGGTTTTAGTTCTCTGTGTAATGGGTGAGTGGTGTCTGAGTTTGAGTTCGAACATCACCGGATTTCAGCTGAACTGTTTCAGCATTATTGTGTTGTGATTTGTTTGATACACACACACAATCTGGATTCAGACACGTGTGCAAATACAAATACAATAGAGACGCGTCATCCGTGCAATCGATCTTCGACCACGGCAGTTGAATGACATGACCCAATCGCTTTTCAGAGTTATCTATCCTCACCCATCCTTGACCATGCCGGAGAACTGAAAACCGGAATCCGAAATTAGAAAGATAAATGCCTATAAGCGATATGTCGACCATATATGTATATATGTTGTACAACCGACAAGGAGAACGACCTAACCCAGATCATGCAAACATTTAACAAGGCTCACAAGTTCATACGGTTCGCCGTGGAGGTAGAGAAACATAACAAACTAGCATTTGTTGACGTAGCTCTGCATAGGACAACTAATGGGCCGCTTGAAAGAAGAGCATACAGAAAAGAAGCGTAGACCAGACAGTATACCAGATTTCACATTTTCGTTTCCCTTAGACAAAAGCTAAATCTTATTCAGTATCTTGTCTCACGTGCATTTGCTAACTTGAGACATCTGTGGCGCCGTCGCGACATCCGGCTGTCTGTGAAGGGTCGAGTGTATGCCGCGACAGTTCGGCCAGTTCTGCTATACGGTGCAGAAACTTGGCCATTGAGAAAACAAGATAAAGACAGACTGGCTACGCATGTCACCGAATAGGTTACCACGGCGAGCGATGTTCGCCGAAGAAGATACAGAGTGGAAGAAAGCCAAGGGTGGTCAAGTTAAGACCTGGCACGAGGGTATAAAAACCCTAACCAGGAAACTGGGTCACATATTTCCTGTTAGGCTCCCTGGCTGGGGACCTCGGGATGATGGTCACCGATGGTTAGGGACACTGAGCGATATGGATGAGTGCCGTAAATAGTGGCGTTCGTGCATCTCCTCAATTTCTTCCCAACCTTAGTCCACTGAACTTCTCCATTTTCCTTTCGAATCCACTTTCAAGTTTCCTTTCTTCTCCTATTGTTCATCGAAATGGGCAGCCAAAAGACAGCAACCAAAACCGGCGCACGAAAGTGCATGGTTAATGGTTGTTCAAACTGAACTGAACTGCGTTCCAAGCAATTT